TATGTCGTGTGTGTGTGTGTGTGTGTGTGTGTGTGTGTGTGTGTGTGTGTGTGTGTGTGTGTGTGTGTGTGTGTGTGTGTGTGTGTGTGTGTGTGTGTGTGTGTGTGTGTGTGTGTGTGTGATATGTATATTTAATACTCATGTGCATCCTATGAAAGGTCATTAGGTTAGTTGAAAGCCATAATATTACGGTTAAATAAAAAAATTACTAATCTTATGTAAGTATGTGAAATCTGTTGACATAATACATGTAATTAAAATCAACGTTTCTATTTTTTTAGTGTTGAGTATTTGATCTACATACTGTTTTGATGATATTATTAGCATTACATTGGATCTAAAGTTAGCATCAATTCTGAGATTTTTTCTCAAACGAACACACACACACATCTCAAACAAACTCTCTTCTCCCTCCAGAATGAAGTAAATGCAATCAAGTGGGACCCCACAGGGAACCTGCTGGCCTCCTGCTCAGACGACATGACGTTGAAGGTGAGCTCTGATGCCACGGTGAAATATCACTCTGACTTCAGAGTGCTGAGTCATAAAGAAAGTAATGATGTGATCATGATGACTGGGGATTCTGGAAAGGGCATCCATCTCCCCTCCTCTTCAACACGTCCTTCTAAATGTCTGTTCAGATGTCGGAGTTAGTGGTTTTACAACGAGCTATAAATCAACTTAATTACAGTACATGTGAATTTGAATTCTCTGCAGAGTTAAACAGCACTACATGATGCACAGCGTGAAGCATTAGCCTCGTTGGGACATTTCTTTCTTTCTTTAATCATTTCCTATGTGTTTCAAGCACTATACCCACATTCACGTCAAAGTGAGTAATGGGGTGCAAATGATTGCCTGTCGATATGTGACTAAAGCATTTCATATGAGTAACTGAAAACTAAGCTTCTCCAGTTTTATATAATGCTAAACTTCTTCATTACACAAGAACAACCATTTTTTTTTCTGTTTAAAGTTTCTTCCCTGGTCCCACTTTTTGATAAATAAATGTTCTTCTGCTTGTTAAAACCGATGTCATTTAATGATCAATTAGAGTTTTGGATACATTTCTCAATGTTTCTTCTTCTCCTGCAGATCTGGAGTATGAAGCAGGACGCGTGTGTCCATGACCTGCAGGCCCACAGTAAAGAGATTTACACCATCAAATGGAGTCCAACCGGGCCTGGAACCAACAACCCCAGCGCTAACCTCATGCTAGCCAGGTGAGAGTCACAGCATCAGAATGCTACGCTAGTTAGCCACTCACACAGCAGATGTTCAGCCAGCCCCCTGCCTGCTTTACTGAAAGCATTAGATACATTGTTATCTACATTTCAATTGAGTTATTATTATTTATTTTTTTCTATTTGATTAAAGTGTGCCTTTTTTAATAAAATATTGGAGAAAAAAAAGTTCAACAGGGGTAAAAAGTAAAAAAAAAAGTATACAGTCAGGGGTCAGTGTACTGATTACACCCAGTTGTTTATGTCTATCACCGTAAACATCTAATACAAATGCATCCGAATTTGAAAATGCTGTCCATACTAATTGTCCACAATGAGAGCTTTTGAAACTCCTTATGATATTACATTTACATGATTTGTATCATTAATGGCACACATCTGATGGACGTACCCATCGAGCTACATCTGGAACACTTTTTACATTCTTTTATTGCAATATTGCAGATAATCAAAATATCTCAGTTAAACCCAGAGATCTAAAACCGCAATTGTTTTATTAGTCCACATTTTAGAAAGCATGTCCTGATCTCTTCCCCCTCCCTCCCCCCCCTCTCATGTGTCCACAGTGCATCGTTTGACTCCACGGTCCGTCTCTGGGACGTGGAGCGGGGGATCTGCATCCACACGCTGACCAAGCACCAGGAGCCCGTCTACAGCGTGGCCTTCAGCCCCGACGGGCGCCACCTGGCCAGCGGCTCCTTCGACAAATGTGTGCACATCTGGAATACACAGGTACAGAGGATGAGGCCAGCTGTGTAGCTTCAACAGCATAAATGCACTTTTATGAAACATCAGGGGAACGTTATCTTTGGGTCTGTCTGCAGCTACTGGAGGAAGGTGTTTCTATAGTGACGTCCCTCTGTTCGGGCAAACATGACACACTTCCACTGCATGACGGAGCAAATCAAGCTCAATAGTGAAAGCCCCTCAACAGGTTCCTTCCTACAAGATGCACGTAACACTTCTATAGATGGACACTTAGTCATTAAAGAGCCAGCATTATACTATCACCATGTGGACATCTACTGATCCCTCTCTTTTGAATCTGTAACACTACATGTTTAACTTGTTATTCATTTATACAGCCAAATATGCAACTTTACGTAGAGGAAGCTGCAAATATTAACACTAAAGAAAACCTAAAAGGACTTATAAATAAAATAACATGGAAATCCAATTTTGAAAAAAAGAGCATTAAAACAAAAATAAATCCCATGGATAAAATGCAAAAATCTAATCCAGTGGTTACAAAATAATGTTGTTACATGTTTTTGTAACCACTGGATAGAAAAATAAATACTTTAATGCTCCACCGGCAGTTTATTTTCTTCAATGATACATTTCTGACAAAAAACTGTGTCTCAGGGCTTCTTAACATTTAAAAACCTATTAATGTGTTATACCAGATTAACGGGAAGAAACTCAGCTAACTGACGATACGAACCATTTTTACCGAAACAAAACACAAGTCTCACAAGAAGCATCTAAATGAGCCCTGAGCAAAAAAATGCTAACACACTTAGCACAGAACTCACGTTAAAATACCCTTATTGCTTATTGTATCTGCGCAAACAAGATATTGATTAGCAAGCTGAGATTCCACAGATTCTACAGATATTAGTATCACCACTGAGCGATCAGAACTCGCGGCGAAATGACAACAAACAACAACAAAAAAATTTGCTTTACGGGACCAAATCAGAAAATAAGTCTTGCTATTGTTCTAATCAAAAGTTGTGTTCAATGGCATTAAAACGATAACAGCGCTGCTGAAGGTTAATCCAATGTGTCTGTGTCACTTTGAAATGATTACTGATAATCCATCTTCATATTTATGTCAATAACGGAGATTTCATATTAGCTGCTAATGGTAGCCACCAGAGTGTATCGCAGCTTCCGGTTCCGGGGCATTCGAGCTACGCATCACTCATTCACCAATGGGTAATGTTTGGATGGATTTTAGGAACTTCCCCTCGATTCTATTGGCTCTAACGGTAAAAATGAGGTGTCAATCATCAAAATCGACCGAGGGGGGCCAGAGATATGGCAAATCCACCCAAATGACTCCAGAAGTGTTTTTTTTTTCTAAATCCCTCTAAAGATTATTATCATATGTTGTAGTCCGGAGACCTAAAGCTTTTAGTCTACTATCCCATCATTCAAGGGTGGTTTTCACTATAAGTAATCTTTTTTTTGGACTAAAACTATCATTTACATTTTTTTTTACTGTGTTCAATCTGAATTTAATTTAAAATAAAAAAATCTATATTGATTCTGACTTTTCTACATCCAACTCACAGGTTTATCATTGCTTTGAGAGAAAAGATTATTAATGTAACCCTTTTAGAAGTGAAGATATGGTCATTTGTTCTGGGAATGTCCTTTTCGAGCCTGAGGCCTGGAAAACAGGCTCAGGGCTCAACTGGTTAAAAGACTCAAGAGTCAAGGCTTTACTGTCACAGTAGCTCCAGTGTTGTTATGGCATGGATCAACTGCAGTCCCAGGCTCCTTCAACAATGCAACATGAATATATATAAGACATACAATAATAAAACAATTAAAATAGTGCAAAAAGAACCATAATAGGTATAAAATAGTGCAAAGTGACGAATGCTGTGCAAGTAAAAGTATAAGAAGAAAACGACATACATGTAAAATAGAATACCATGAGCTAAAACCGAATGTTAAATGAAATACTGTAAAGGAATAAATACAGTTTATTGAAATGATAAAATGCAAACAGATGAATGCTTAACATTTATTTATTGTTACAATAAGCAGCATTTTATTCCTGTACATTATTTAATTTGACATCCTGTGAAATTAGAAACTGCACACCATTGGGTTACGGTTTTGTTCAAAATTCAGCAATACAGGAAAAAGGAAACTATGAAACCATGTCTCTTTGTCCCTTGTGTGTGCAGACGGGCGCTTTAGTCCACAGCTACAGAGGGACGGGGGGGATCTTTGAGGTTTGCTGGAACGCAGCCGGGGACAAAGTGGGAGCCAGCGCGTCAGACGGATCTGTGAGTATACTCAGGACCTCTGCAGCTTTTATTCTGACAGTTCTGTCCACGTTCTGACCCTGTCCTCCTGTCTCTGTCCTCCTGTCCCAGGTGTGTGTACTAGACCTTCGGAAATAGCGCCGCTGTTTGTTGGAAGCCATGGACCGACCATGAATGTGTACATAGCCAAATGACTGTCCCTGCCCTCGCCCTGCTCACGCTCACGGCCCCGCCCACCGACAGACAGGAAGCAGGAAACAGGAACAGGAAGCAGCCCACACAGCAGGTCCAGACAGGGGTGAACAGCCGGACAGACGGAGGGACCCGGGGGGACGGACAGCCCCTCTCTTACAGAGACTCTCACAGAGATGCAGAAGGGACGCAGTGAAAAAAAGAAAAAAAACTGATAGGCGAAAAAAAAAAGTTACAGATCCGTATATGTACCAACATTTGGAAGCTATTTTGCTTTTTTTGATCTTTAAACCATCGCTCATCGTCATCAAAATGCAAAACAATGAAAAAAGTGTTGCTATTTGTTACTCGTTGGATCTCATCGTGCAGACATATCGAACTCCTCCATCATAAAATAGGACGGCACTTAGTTTTTTTAAATTTCTGATCTCTTGTTTCAATGTTTTTATATTTTTTATCTTCGGGGGGGAGGGGGACAGGCTGGTCAGCTCAGAGGTTCCTGGATTGGAGAAGGACACACACGTACGCACGCACACGCACACACACACACACACACACACACACACACACACACACACACACACACACACACACACACACACACACACACACACTCTCTCTCGTGGGTCATACGGTTACATCAGAATGCAGTAGCTCATGTTGTACATCCTCCTGTCACATGACGTCCATCTAGATGCTTTAAGAACAGCTCCTTATACATTCTGATCTAGATGCTTCTCTCTGGACTCATGACATCACAGGAAGCTCACCTCCACTCATCTGAATGTGGAGTTTGCATCCCCAGCCAGTAGGATTCCAGCTGACCTTCTTACCTAATTTGATTCAGGCCTCATACCATGGAATACCCTGATGTATGCTGGGAAAAGAGGATGTTTTTGCAGCTTCTCAGCATCTAAAACCACAGAGTCAAAGGAGCTGGACTCAAGCTCTTCATCTGATTGGCAGCGTTCACACACTTTCTATTGCTCTGTGTGTTTGCAATTGACTAACAAGTGAAAACAAGGACTCTCAAATGGTTATTCGTTTTTATTTCAAATATCTGGCGCCTTACACTTCGAGTTAAAGTTGAATTTAACTGTGGATGGCCAGGGAAGCTGACTTTGTGATCTGTTTTTGCGACACGTTTGACGGTTTTCTGACAGTTTTTAGTGTATGTCATCTTAAGTTCAGATAATTACAAGCAATGGGCAGACACTAACGGTTTTCTAACTTTGGCTGGTCAATATAAAATTCAAATCAGTCTGAACATCTCCATGTGAACGCAGCAAACAAAGATTCTCAGATACAGTTTCGTACCATCATCAGTGGCAGTCGTAGTGTCTCTATTTTCCAATCAAAGGTGACTCATTGGGTGAGTTCTCAGCAAAAAAGCAACAGAAAAAAGAACAGAGAATACTATTTAGACACATGTGGCTATGAACTCTGGGAAGGTTTTAGTGGAACAGCTCTGCCTCCAAAACTCGTATAAATACACGAAACACTTTCATTAACACAACCATGCACATCCATCAGGGGGGGGGCTTCGGTGTGACTGAGCAGCCTTCACATCACACTCAAAAATACAAAATGGCAGCCTGAATCCCACTGGCTGCTCTTCAGAATCAAGCTCTAAAGCAGATCCCAGCAATATTTGGACATTCTTTTTTATAAACAGCTACTTGTCAAATTGTGGGGGAATAACGACACTGCTTTCACGCTGGAGGACATTAGAGATGTGACGTAAAAGAATTCAAAACATGTGGAGCGGTGCATTCAATGCATCGGACTCTGCCCTCGCTCACTCTCGGTTCTGCTTCACGTTTTTCTCCGAGGTTCCTTACTGACAACACATTTTATACTCTTTTAAAGACAAATTTAAAGTTACATTTTTGTAATTTCTTTGTAGATTTGAAAACAAAATGTGAATTGATGATTTATTGGCAGTGTTAATTTACATGTTCTATACATTTTTAAATGTTTTGTTTTGTTACTTTGATGCTATTTCAAATAGCAAACCCTGAGCTGCGGATCTGAGGCGCCTCACTGCGGAACACGTGTCCCGGAGCAGATTACCACTAAATGTGTCTGTTTAATAAAGAAATGTTTTACTTTTCTTTTTTGCTTGGATCTTTTTGGGAGGAAGTTTTGTCCCAGAAAACGACAGCATACAGAGAAGACAATTCAGAAAAAAAGTTACTCTTTAAATTGAATAAAATTGTAATTTTTCAATCAAGCAAAGACTCTAGGGACTTTTTCTGGTTCCCCTTTTATTTTCGCTACAGTCACGAAGAGGGTTGCTCTGGAAGCAGACGCCATTTCATTGGTTGAATATGGACTTTCGTATGTCTTATTTGATCAAGAACACTTTAGACTTTTATTTTGAAAAATGTTTTTCTGTGCAAATTTGAAGGGGACATTTCTAATTGGCTTTTTGTTCCTGTCCGATTGTTAGAAGTCTAAAATATATGTTTCCTGTGCAGTGGCAGAGTCGAACAATATTTATTCTCTGGTGATATTTGACTGAAAACAAGTGAACTCATCTCACACCATCATGAAATGTTGAAGTTATCATACATTTGAATTGGATTTTAACCTTCAATTCGACTAAGTTTAAGCTTTAGGTACAGAGGTTTTAACCACACCAAAAAACATACAATTCTTCGCCAGAGCTGTGCTTCTGAAAAACATTTGGATGGCAAACTAACTTAATGTCCGCCTCTAATAATTTCGACATTTCTCCCAATGTGTTCCTATTGAGAGTCCTGTGTTACTTCATCATTTTTTCTCCCCTGTGTTTAGAGCACTTGAGCCAACAGTTCTGAAAGTATCTCACTCCTCTTGTCTGTGCCACAGTTTAGTCGGGTGGCCAAGTTGCTGACTCAGCCTTTCTCTGTCAGCAGAACGTCATGTCGGCGGCCAGCGTCTCCCCCATATTTCCATCACATCCATCTGTTATCATTTTAACTCAGATCAGTGGAACAAAAGTCCAGAATAAAATATATTTTGATAAGAGTTTTGTGTTTTTATTGAGTGTGCGTACAAATGCTGAACCAACATGGTGTAGTCCGTGACAATCAGTGTTTTATTCACGTGAAAACACAAGAAATATGACCAATAAAACATTGAATGAGAGCTTGAACGTCCCTCATGCTGGTCACACAATGAAACTAAAGAGGCATGCTTTACTCTCACTGTATGTTCATAAAGCTAAAGGAATATTATTCTTCTTAATGTAAGGGAATTTGCAACAATCTAGATTTGCATATCCAAAATGAAACCTCCCTGAGTGTACTAACTCACCATAGCTTCCCATCTAGCGAATGTTAGAGCTATCAAGCTAGCTATTGCCAAATTCGTGGCTCTCCTAATTTAAATTTGAATGATTATTTAAAAACCCTCTATGGCATCTTGTTGCCCTCAGGCAACAAACCACTTTTTTCGACCTCACACTGGCCCTCTAAATATTTTTATTTTTTTGAAAATATACACAATGTCACCTGACATGCTAGTGTCCAATAAAATGAGGGATTATATGGGTGTGGCATTTTGTCTGGGGGTGGAGCAGTCCTTTCTGCAAGCAAAGCTGCAGGGGACTCAGGGCCACCACTTGGTAAGATACATTTCACTTTTTAACATGTTAGAAATGTACACAACTTAAAATAAAAAATACATGCATGTGCATGAATACGTAAAGAACTATTTGTTTTGATTGATTAAAGACTTATCTATTTATTTGTTAGCTAAAACTATGTTTTTTTGTTCATTGCCTCAGGGCAACACTGCCACTTGGACCACTTTTTTCCAGGCAATATCATGCAAGTGTGCAAATGTGCTCGGCTGTAAAATGATAAACCTAGTCAATGTTTTTACTTTACCATCTACTGATATTTATAGGAAGTGGACACCAAAACAGGGCAGAAGGGACACGAACAGGCTGTTAGAGCTACTCCGTCTGACAGTGAGGGTCAAGATAGGGTCACACACACACACACACACACACACACACACACACACACACACACACCCACACACACACACACACACACA